GAGATCCCCGAGGGAGAGATGGTGCCAGCCGCTGCCAGTGGGCCCCTGGCGGGTGGCCCAGCAGGCCTTGCCACGGGACATAGTATTTTTCCGCTCTTGTAGGTGAACCTCTGGGGCTCCTCCACCCAAAGCCCTGTGGCCCAATGGAAACTTGCAAGGCCAACTTGTCCTGCTTCTGTGGGACAGTGGGGAGGGGGGCTGGCCTGAGAGGAGACAGGGGCTGGGTACCAGGCTCCAGACTGCCCCTTTGGGGGCTGAGCCACTGGCAAAGGGGGCCTCATCCCATAGGATGGAGGCTCCAAGGTGAAGCCACCTGGAGAGAAACCTGGATAGGGGGTGTGGGGGAGAGACAGCAAACATTCAGTTCACACAGGCTCAGAGTGGGAGGGGGTCTTGTCCAGTCCCGCAGCTTGTGGGTGGGGCTGGGAGGAAGAGCTGAAATCCCAAACCAGGTCTGGCTCCAAGGACACGGAGGGGCCCCTGAAGAGCCTGCCAGGCATCAAGCTCATGTCTAAGGCTTTACAGCCCAGCCCACCACAGCCCCTGCCCCCTTGGATGCAGACACTGGAAACCACCACTGGTCTGGGGGAGAAAGACCAGGCTTTCTACTCCCATGAAGAGTCTGTCTCAGGAACCAGTTGGACTCACCTTGAAGGTGGCAAGTTTCGCTTGAGTTTGGATCCAGAGGGTCCAGACTTTGATACCCTGCCCAGGCCGGGGACTCTGTGAAAGCCGGTCTGTGCCCGCCTCATGCCCTCGCACAGCCTTGACCAGCACAGGCCAAGGGCCGAGGCCTGGTGACCACAGCGAGAGCACAGGAGTTGGATGCCTTGGTTCCAATCCCAGCATGGCCACTAACACACCGTGTGACCGTGGTCAAGTTCACTAACCTCTCTGGCCTCTGTACTCCCAATCTGCAAAATAGGACTCAGCGGCATTGTCCCCAGAACGGTGTGAGGATTAAAGCAGCTACACAGGGCAGTGCCTGGCACACAAGTGCTGCCCCAGGCTTGCTGTTAATAGTATCACTACTTGTTGAATGAATTGAATTGTAGTATATTCTGGGGCTGTTTCAGACCCCTAGGTGGGGACAGAGGGTGGAGGGTCGAGGGTTCTGAAACGTGATCATAGAGAGGCAACAGGACCCGAGGGCAAGTCTTGGACCTCGATGGCTGGGTCCCCAAGGCCATTTCCACAGTGAGACCTCCTACTGCTGATGACCCCCGGCCTGCAGTCGGGGCTAGAAGCTTCGGCGGGTGGGGGGCAGGTGGCCTCTTAGGCACAGAGTGCTCACCGGTGTCTGTGCTGGCTTCCCTGGGCAGGTGAGGCCCTGCTATGGTTCAGGGAACCATGCCTGTCCCCAAAGGAAAAGGACATCGCTAGGGTGGGCTGTGTCGGGCCTCAGGTGAAATGCTGGGGCAGTGGGAAGCACAGTCATGTGCCCTTACCTCCAAGGACATTTGCACGGTCTGCCCCTCCACCTACTTGCCTGGCTAAACCTCTCCCTCACTTCCTTCTGACCGTGGCCCCTAAGTCAACCTCCTCCCTTGGTCACCCTTGGGGATCCATCCCCAGCCCTCCACGTTCCCCGCGGCTTCACTGCTCATTTCCACAGCTCCTGCCACCATGCGACTCCCGAATCCAAAGCCCACACCTCTCCCACCCGCCGGCCCTGTCGACCCCCATCTCTCTGGGTGTTTCCTCATGCAGAAAACGAAGGTTGTCATAGTGCCCGATGCCCGGGTGGCACACTGGTGAAAGCACTTCTCTGCTAACCCAAAGGGTGGGCATTTGAACCCACCAGCCAGTGCCATGGGAGACGAGTGGGGGACCATGCTTCCCTAACAAGGGCCACCTGGGAGACCCTGCAGGGCCCTTCCACTCTGTGCCTTCCGGTCCCTATGAGTTTACAGATGGGCGAACAGTGCCTGGCCCGGCGTGTTACGTAAACGTCCAACAGAATAAATGCACGAGCTTATTTATCCCAGTCTCACTCTTCCCGCCAGACTGTCAGCTCCTCGCTGACAGGGAAGCCTGTTTGCTTTGTTGGGCCCTGCCTGCCCCTGTCCATTCCTAGAGCAGTGCCTGGCACACAGGAGAGGCTCAAAACCCATGAACGAAGAAGCAATGATGGTGTGTCCAGCCTGCCCCGGCCTGGCGCTCCGTAGAAACTTCCCAACAGATGCACCTCTATGTGGGGAAACCAAGGCAGACAGAGTGAAGAAGGGAATTAGTGTTTACTAAACTGCCGCAAAAAGCCTTGTGCTATGGGCTGGGTACACACTTCGCCTCCCCTCCGCCTCCGCCTCCGCCTCCCGGCAGCCCACTGTCTTCATGAAGGAACCGGTATTTGGACTGACCTAACGGCTCTGATCGTAAGCTATGAAGATGCGATGACGTAACCTCTCGGAGCCACAGTTTCCCCGGCATTTAAAGAAAGGCCAGAACATTTCCGGTTTCCTCCTAAGGCTAAGGAAGAGACTGCATTAGCCGGCAGTGTAAGAATAACCCGTATCCTCTTCTGGGCTGACCCAGGCTCAGGGACAGCGTACTGCAGACCCTGGCCGGTGGGGTCTGCTCCGTTTGCAGATGGGCTTCAGGACTGCAGTGTGGCTCTGTGGAGAGTTGGGGCAGGGGGGCGGGGAAGCAGGGGGGGCGGGAACCTTCCCATTTCGCCCTGCCACCCCAGGGGCACAGAATTTGCGAAGGCCTTGGGTCTGCTCACATCAAAGTCTTCACCTCGGATGGGGCTTTTCCTCCATGGTACACACCTTCCTTCAAGGTTCAACTCTAGATTCAGCTGCTGCCTCGAAGGCCCCATTCCCCATGCTTATCACCTGGGCTACAGTGAGACCCTCGCAGGATCCGTAATGGCTCTTTGGTCTTTAAGAGGTTTTCCCTCATCAAGATACAAATGCTTCTGAGGACCCCAGGACCGAGGCCTTTGTTGTGGGTCATACCTGGGGGTGGATATCATGGGCTGCCCTTTCTCATCAGAAGCTCCCCAGCAGCAGCCAGCAGCTTGGTTACCAGCTAACTGCTCTGCTCTCAGGTGCACCGCAGTGAACAGGTAACCCTGTCAGCATTGCCAACACAACAAACGGAAACCACACTCCCTGGGCTCACTGCCACAGGTCAATTCTGACTCATGGCGGCCCCACAGACAGAGCACAATGGTCCTTTGACTTGCGGAGGCTGTAACTCTTTATGGGAATGGACAGCCTCATTTTTCTGCCCCCAGAGCAGCTGGTGAGTTTGAACTGCTGATCTTTTGGTTAGCAGCCTAATCCGTAACCCACTATGCCACCAGGGCACCTGGCCAATATACTTAAAACCTCAGTTTAAAAAACAAACAGCTGTGCCAGCTGCCCTCTACTGCTCTGAGACTCTTTCTCTGCATGGGCTCTGTGGCTAGATCAAAACAAAACAGAACTGTTGCCATTGATTGAATCCAATTCAAGGGAGCCCATGGGTGTCAGAGAAGACCTGGGCTCCACAGGGTTTCAAGGCCAAATTCAAAGGCTTCAAATTCATACTGGATACATTCAAACTGTCCCTGGACCACGCTTTACTTAGTTGCTCTGGTCAGGTGGCATCAAGTTGGCTATACCTCATAGCGACCCGGTGCACAACAGAATGAACCACCACGGGGATCGTACCCCATAATCACAAGTGTTTTTATGTTAACCCCGCTGTGATTGACAGCCACTGTGTGGATCCATCTGGTGGAGGGCCTGCCTCTTTCACTGCCTCTCTCCTTTACCCCGCAGGGTGTCCTTCCTCCTGACAACACGGCCAAAGGATGTCAGATGACGTTTCGCCATCTTTGCATCGAAGGAGCATGATGGTTGCACTTCTTCCGAGGCGGACGTGTCTGTTCTTTGGGCAGTCCGGGGTACTTTCACTGTGCTTTGCCAGCACCAGAATACAAACCCGTCAGTTCTTCCTGGGTCTTCTTCATTCGGTGTACAAGTTCACATCCCTATGAGGGGGTGGAAAATACCAAGGCTTGGGTCAGGCGCACCTTAGTCCTCAAAGTCACATCCTGGCTTGTCAACATTGGTAAGAGGTCCTGTGCAGCAGATTTACCTAGTGCAACGTATCCTTTGATCTCTTGACCACTGCTTCCATGAGCTCTGATTGTAGATCCCAGCAAATTTAAATCCTTGACAACTTTAATGTTTTCTCCATGGTGTTACCTACTGGTCCAAGTTGTGAGGATTTGGGTCTTCATGACATTGAGTTGCAATCCATTCTGAAGGCTGCAATCCTTGATCTTCATCCGCAAGTGCTTCATTCAAGTACTCCCCATTTTCAACAAGCAGAGTGGTGTCACCTGCAAATCTCAGGCTGTTAATAAGGCCTCTGTCAATCCTGATGCCACAGTCTTCTCCAATTAGTACAGCTTCTCAGATTCTTTGCTCAGTTTATAGATCGGAATAAGGATGGTGAGAAGATACAACCCTGCTGCACACCTTTCTTAATTGTTAGCCAGGTAGCAATTCCGTCCTGTTTGCACAACTGACTCTTCATCCATGCAGGTTCCCCATAACCACACTGAGGCGTTCTGGAATTCCCATTCTTCTCAAGACTATCCAGTTTATTATGATCCACGCAGTTGAATGCTTCGGCATAGTCAATAAAGCACGAGTAAGCATCTTTCTGGTAGTCTCTGTGTGCAGCCAACATCTGTAATCATTTCCCTTACCCCCCACCTCTTCTGAATCTGCCTGAATCTCTGGCAGCTTCCTGTCAACGAACTGCTGCAACCATTGTTGGAAGAGCTTCAGCAAACGTTTGCTTGCATTGCTATCAACGATACTGTTCTATTCATTCGAGCATTCTGCTGGGGTCCCTTACTTTGGGACAGGCACACACATGGATCTGTTCCAGTGAGTTGGCCAAGGGGCTGTCTTCCAAATTTCCTGGCAATAGACGAGTGAGGGCTTCCAGTGCTTCATCAGCTTGTTGAAACATGTCAATAAGTATTCTATCAATTCCTGGAGCCTTGGGTTTTGGCTAACGCTTTCAGTGCAGCTTGAACTTCTGTGAGCACCATGGGTTCTTGCTCATCGGCTACCTCCTGAAAGGGTGGAATGTCGACTAGTTCTTTTTGGTACAGTGGTTCTGGGTATTCTTTCCATCTTCTTGTGATGGTGCCTGGTGATCCAATATTTTGCCCATAACATCTTTCAGGACCGCAACCCAAGGCTTGGATTTTTCCTTGCATTCTTTCGGTTTAAGATAAGCTGAGCGTGCTCTTTCCTTCGGCATTTCTAAGGCCAGGTCTTTGCACATTTCATTGCAATAGTTGACTCCTCGGTCTTCTCCAGCTGCCCTCTGAAATCTTCGGTCTGGATTTGTTACTTCATCGTTTCTTCCATCTGCCTCCGCTACCCTGCGACTCAGAGCCCGTTTGAGAGTTTTTCCTCGCGTCCACGTTGCTGTCTTCGTATGACTTTTGCTTTCTTCCTGAAGGATGATCCCAATGTCCTCCCACAGCTCATCAAGTCTCCTGTCATTAGTGTTCAATACAACCAATCTGTTCTGCAGATGGCCCTACAATTCAGCTGAGATAGACTCAAGGCCATATTTTGGTCATTGTGGACTTTTTGAATTTCCTTCAGCTTGAACTTGAACTTACCTATGAGCAGTTGGCAGTCTGCTCTGCAGTCGGTTCCTGGCCTTGTCTTAGCCACTGATACTTACAGGGCTTCTCCACCTTCCATTTCTGTGTCCTTCTGGAGAACTAACCCCAGCTGTAAAGTCGCCGTGGTCATGGTGTTGAAAAAGGTTATTTGCCGTGAACAATCTGCTGGTGTTGCAAAATTCTATCACGTGATCCCCAGCTTCATTTCTATCACAAAGACCAGAAGTTTCCAACTACTCTTCTGTTTCCAATTTTGCATTTCAATTGCCAATAATTATCCATGCACCTTGACTGCCTATTTGATCAACTTTAAACTGAAGTCGTCGGTCAAATTCTTCACCTGCTCCATCATCAGCTTTAGTGATGACTGCATCGATCAGAATAATAGCCGTATCAATTGGATTCCCTTGAACGCAGACAACTGTAATTCTATCACAGACAGTTAGTGGCCACTTGGAAACCATTTGCGCCACAGGGCTCTTTAAAACTGTAGCTGAAAGCTACCACTTAAAGTGTCCGCGACCACTAGGTGTTAGTCACTAACGCAGTCAGCAGTGGCCAAAGATCTGTTAGAACTGTTAGCCTATCAGTTAACATCGTGTTTATCAGCTAAAGAGTTCATCACAGCTAACACCATCATTACCAGATCAAATATTACTTATAATATTTGAAGTGGCAGCAAATATCTAAGTTGGTGTTTCTCAAGCCCCAGCACGCATTCATTGAACTGATGCAGATCCCGACTCTGTAGGTCAGAGGCAGCCCCTTCGGTCTGCATTGCTCACCAGTCCCCCAGTGGTCGACTGCTGGCCCACACACACTTTCTTTGAGAAGTAGGAGTTCCTGTTGTCTGGGAGTAGCTCATGATTAACAACACAGTTGCTGGCTCGCCTGGTTGCCAGCTAATTTACTAGCGACAACTGTGTTGGTCTCCTGCTCACATCTGCATGAACGGCCAACCTCTGGATAGATATGTGCCAGGCCCATGTGTGCTGGAGTTGCTGACATGGCTCCAGAGGGAACTATTTCTGCAAGCTGGTGTAAAGCCATTCGTAGCTAAATGAGACCCGTTGTGGGTACTTAGACCACCGAGTGGACAGGGGCTATAAACCAGGGCTCTTATACTTTTCCGGGGACCGGTATCAGAATGCCCCCCACCCCTCCCATGCTCTGCTGAGAGTGGGGGAAGGGTGAAGTACAACTTACTTTCCCGGTGGACTTGACACCCTTCCAGATACAGAAGAAACAGGCCAGCCAGACGAGGAGCAGGCAGAGAGCGAGGTCCCACTTCAGAGCACCTGGGTGGTCGATTCCAGAGGACAGGCTCAGCACGTTACGCCTTCAAGGAAACAGAGGGAGACACCCATCAGTGCTGGCTGGGTGGGCAAACTGGTGTGGGGCTGGCCTGGCTTGCAGTTCAATTCAGACCCTGGGATAGATGCTGAGGGCGTGGAAGTCGCCCTGTCTCCCCAAGCCTTGGAGGGGTCCCTGCCCCCCTTGGATATACAACGGTGTTGTTAGGAACTCAAGGATGGTATGGATTCAGACTCCAGGGTCTGGCAGGCTCCAGGGCAACTCAGTACATCCTTGGGTAATGTTAGTAACCCCTACGCCTTAGCTTCCTCATCTGTAAAATGGGGACAGTGAGACCTCAGCCAATCCTCCTTCAGTTAAAACAAAACCCAAACCCATTGCCCTTGAGCTGACACGGTCTCCGAGTGACTATCCGTGTTACAGTGTAGACTTGGTCTCGAGAAGTGTCTTGGCTATAATCTAAAAGTAGACCACCTAGATTGCCTTCCTTGGTGCCACTGGTGGGGTCAAAATGACAACCTTTAGACTCATGGTCGAGTGCAAACCATTTGGGTTACCTGGGATTTTTTGCTTTGGTGCCTATCCTGGGCCCATTCAAACCTCGTTGCCCTTCAATCGCTGACTGCGGACAAGATACCCAACCTCTCTGGCGTTCAGATCCCTCGTCTATAAAATGGGAATTGCCCCAGTAGTCACTGTCTGACTCTCAATTGTGGTGCTGGTGCTGTGGACTTGCAAGAGAACAAACAAAGCTGTCCTGGAAGAAGTACAGCCAGAATGTTCCTCAGAGGCAAGGAGGGGGAGACCATGTGTCGTGTGCCTGGGGAAAGTTCTCAGGGGAGACCAGGCCCTGGGAAAGGACATGCATCGTGCTTAGTGATGTCGAGGGGCCACGAGAAAGAGGGAGACCCTCGACGAGACTGGCTGACACCACAGCTGCAACGGTAAGCTCAACGCAGGAACAAGGGTGAGGCTGGCCCAAGGCAGGGCTGTGTTTCATCCTGGCTTACACAGGGTTGCAATGGCATCCAACGATGACAAAAACAACACCCATGAGCTCCTAGGGGCAGGGTCTTTTACCAATATCCTTTGCAGGGACTTATTATAAGAAAATCCCTAAAATGGGCCCGATATCGAGCCTAGGCCAGCACTTGCCACACCGTAGTAGCTGTCGCCAGCAGTGTCGGGTACACAGCTGGTGCTTCAGCAGGGTTGGTTTTTCCCCTACGCCATGCCCCAGTTTTTGGAAGTCGTAGGGAAGCTTTCTGCTCCCGTAAAGATTTACAGTCTCGGAAACCCACAGGGTCAGTTCTAATCTGTCTTAGAGAGTCGCTAGGAATCCAAACTGACTCAATGGCGGTGAGCCTGGAAGAAGGGTCAGCCCTTTGAACTTCCCTGTGGGTCCAACTGACAGTGTGGGGCAGTGAGAATGTGGGGGGG